CAGGCGAGTCAAGGGCAGAGTCAGGGTCAGAAACAGGAAGGAGTGGCTCTCAGGATCTGTCTGGGGGATCGACTGCCAGCAACGCAAGCCTCGCTGGGGGTGGGGGACGAAGAAATAGCTGGATAAGCGGGGGCCAGACATAAGGGAAGGGGGGTTTGCAACAGGCAGAGAGACAAAGTGTGTGGAAGAGTCTATTTTCCTAACAGGCATGTGCCATCCTCTTACTAAACAGCAACTGATTAGCTCGCTCCAACTCAGAAGGCTGCGCAAGGCCTGCAATTCTTTCCACACCACTTCCAGATCTGGGGGGGAGGGAGGGCAATTGTGCTCCGTGGTCATCCCCTTCCAGAGGCCAGAGATGTGCTTCCAAATCCCCAGTACAGCACGTGGGCTGCAGGGGAGAAGGCGCTCGTGGAAAGCTGTCCCCAGAAGGTGGTGCCTGGGTGGGTGGAGGAGCTGGCGGGAGTCCAGGCATCTTCCGGACCTGGTACTGAAGGAGGTTCAAGTACAGCATGGCCTTCTGCCCACCGAAAGGAGAAAGGATGCCCCTCCAGTAGCACAAGGCAGACTGCTTTCCTTAGGATGTATGGATTCCTCTCTCAGCTGGAAGGTACCAGGGCCAGTTCTGCTGGAGTTCTGGGATGGCAGCCTCCAAGGTCAGAATTCTTTCCTTTTGTGACCCCCCACGGAGGTGACGCAACAGCCCCGAAAGCTCATCGCCCTCCTCCCTCTCTCTGTCCCTCCTGCCCAGGGCAGTGTGCCAAGCTGCGCCTCCCATCTGCGAGGCCTCCTGGGTGACCCTGACTTTGCAGACGGCACCCTGGGAAGGAGCGTCCCCGGCGCCTGGTGAATATTTCTTAGCAGGTGATAAGGGTCAAGGAAGACGTTTCTCTCTGAAATGTTACAAATGAATGTGAAAGTTGAAGAATCCAGGAGTTGCAGGGAAAATAACTGGTCGTGCAGGTGAGACCGGGGTGAAGACGGGGGAGGCCAGGACCGGTTCTGCCTAAAACGCGACTTCTCTCTCAGGTGGAAGATGAGCAACTGGGAGAGGCCACCGTGAGCTGCCTGCACAGCGGTGGGGCCGCACCGCAGGCCTCCAACCACCGATTCTCAGACCACCTCTCTGCAGGCACCAGGCGTGGCCCAGTGCTGCTGCTGGGACACCTTCCTCCAGCTCTGTCCCTTCCCCTCTGCGCACATCTAGGGAGCTGGCCCAGAGCAGGGAAGGGCTTAGCCCTGGTGACCCCAGAGTGATGGAGGCTGGATGAGGAAGCAGAGCGGAGAGACCCTTCTACCTGTGGCAGGGACCCATCCTGTCGGTGGTCTGTGGCCGAGAAGCCTCCTCTTCCTTCCACCCACCGATCTAGCCCTGGTTCCAGGACCACCAGCCTGTGTGCACACCCCGAGCCTGCCTCGTCCCAGCCCACACTGATGCCTGCAGCTTCTGTGCGTAGCAGAAGGCTCTTCTCGGCTTCACCGAGGTAAGTACTCCAGAGTCAGATGGACTCGGGTTTGAAACCTGGCTCATCCAACCACTCTAGCATGTGGGTTTAGAAGTCCTGAATATAAGACGCCATCAATGCCCTTCCAGTGTCCCCTGGGTGCTCACTGTTCCCGTCAGTGTGCACTGCTCGCCCCGCAGACACCTGTAATCCCTGACACGGCTCTTCTCTGGACCCTGGAAGGAGCGTGCACGGAGCAGGCTGGAACTGACCAGGAACCGAAACCGGTGGGAAACACATGAACTGCTTCGCAACGCCAAGGCTCTCTGCAGCCTCCCAGAGGGCCCGCGCCTCAGAGGCCCGAGGAATCAACTGCTCGTTAAAAATCCTCTGCAAGTGTCCTGCCCAGCCCCTGCTACGTCCCCCTGCCCCCATGGTACTTCCTGGAGTCACCTCCACAATCCACCATTTGCCCCTCAAACCCAAAGGCCCCAAGTGCCACGTCACTTCTCAGTTTCTTCCTCTGTAACATGGGGACGACAGCTGCACCTGGACAGGTACACAAGATTCCGGGCCCACAGCACTCAGCAAGCGCTAGCTGTTTTCACCGTGGTTATCCGTTCACCCAGAAGTAGAGCAGCTTCCTTAGACCGCGGGCACAGACTCGCACGCAGGAGCTACCACGATCCAGGCAGGCAAACGCACGCGCCAGGGGACCGTGCCCACCACACACTCGACACCTGGCCTCTCCAGTAAAGAGGGGAGGTGCAAAGTGGGGTGGCCACAGGATAGGGAAGAGTCAAGTGGGTTCAAACCAAGGGGTTTAGCTGAATCAGGACCTTACAATTATGTGCCGTGCTTCAATCGAGCGACACACCGAGAGGTGTCTGGGTCCGCAGGGGACTCTCGGCCTTCACGCCCTCAGTCTCTCTCTCTTTCTGGGAAATGGTCAACAAAGTTGATTCGGAAGGCACGGTTTGCACTGACACCAGTGTGCTAGTTCATGATCACAAATCCTTAGACAACTTAGATAACAGAAGAGTTCTTTTTTTTTTTTCCTTCTGTGGAGATGCAGAAGAAACCCCATGAGAAAGTGCAGATTTTCTTTCCTTTCCATTTGGGGTCCTGGGAAAGCCCAAAAACCAGTAACAGTGGACATGGGCTTCCTGCATCACTGATTACAGACGCCAGTCCTGTGTCTTCACTGCAGACCAGAGCGGTTTGCAAACGTACAGGAGCGAGAGACCTCAAACCTCAATCCTCACACCGTGCGGCACGGCAGCCACACGAGCCTGCCGTAGGTGCCCCTTCTCTTAATAGGGATGCTGTTTATAACTTAAATACATAATTGCTCAGAATGGGTGAGTGGTAATTAAAATGTATTCACCCCCTAAAATGGGTATTACTTTTATTATTAATAATAAAACAATTTTTGTTTGTGAAGAGGTGCTTGCACCACAGATAGGGAAGATAATAATCATATCTCAAAACTGAAATGACAATACATCTCCCCAGGCTGGGTTTTAAAATTCACTCAGGGCTTCAAGGGAAGGTGAGGTGCCCTGCTTTTGAGGTGGAGAGTTCAGTGGCTGGTCCCTGCATCCGTGGCAGGCGGGGGGGCTGTGACTGTGAAGGGTGCGGCTTAGGGGCGGGGGGTAGCAGCCCCAGATCTCTCTCGGCTGCATCCAGAGAGTAGGATAAAGACGACACCTCACACCTCCCTCTTGGCTGCGCAGCTCCCGGTCAAGGTGAGCGCGTTACAAGCAGCCTGAGGGCAGCCCAAAGCTCGTATCCACTGCAGACGTCTCTGTGGGGCGGAAGGGGCTCTGCATCCGGGACACTGTCCCCTGCAGCCGTGGGTAGGACCCACCCTGAGGCTCAGTCCTCTCCCTTCTCTACTGTGTGCCTCTGCTTAAGACAGTCCCACTCCTGTCACAGCAAACCTCAAACCAAAGCTATCGCAGCGCTCTCAGGTATTAGGGAGGAGGGAGGAAGACAGTCTCTTGCATTCCAAGAGCTCAGTTCGTTTTCTAAATGACTTTGCAGGCTCTAACTCATCAATCTCGCTAATGCGCTCACGGAGGTGCTAATGCAGCCGTGGTGCCACCCTGGATCTCAGAGCAATTAAGTGACTTGCCCTGGCTCACAGGAGGGACCGCGTGTCAGCATCGGGCCCGGCCTCCTGGAGGCCCCAGTGCTCAGCACGGGTGCTCGATGGTGCAAGCAAAGCATCTGGCCCCGTGAACTTGTGCAATTCACTCAGGCAGGGCAGATGCCAGCCAGACTCGATGCGAGGCACACATTCGACATGGTGGAGACGTGACAGCCAGCCAAACGTGGTTTTGCTTGCTCCCCGATGCCAAAAACAGGGTGGGGGGGCACAGTCAGTAAAAGGCAGATGCCATGTGGCTGCTTCTCAAGGCACCCGGGAGGCCCCCCCGGACCCCCTGGATGGGATGGTGCCATCTTCGAAAGCTCACCGCTGCTGGTCCAACGGGACTGCTCCCCGCTGCAGGTCCTGTGGAAGCCTGGGGCTGGAGGAAACAGGCCAGCGGGCTCATCCAAGGTGCAAGACTGGGCCCAGCCGACGGCAGGGCGACGGGAGGGAAGGCGAACCCCAGAAACTGCCCTCCTGGTTGGCACAAGAGGTACTAGAAAGGGGAGTGGTCGTCAGCACAATCACGGGGGGAAGCGGAAGCAACCAGAGGGGAAGGGGGAGGACGCGGCTGGCTCTCCCCCTCCTCGCTTAGTCGCCAGCGCTTGCCTAGATGGAAGCGTGTATGTTACAGACTCTTCCAAGGAACACATCTAAATTAGCTGCAAATAAACGATTCTCCAATCAAAGAGCAATGCCTACATCCATCGCTTGACGCTTAGCAAGTTCCCCTGCCTAATTTCTTTTCTTTTCAGATTTTGTAAAAAAAGACATATTTTTAGAGCAGTTTTAAGTTCACAGTAAAATTGAGCAGAAGGAACAGAGCTTGACCGGTACCCCCTCTGCCACCAACATGCACGGCCTCCCAGCACCGACACCCCCACGTGCTGGTGCAGCTGCTACAACCCATGACCCCACCTCGTCACCCAAAGTCCACCGTGCACTTTAGGGCTCACTCTTGGGCTCGTACGTTCTACGAGTCTGGACAAATAATGGCACCTATCAGTGTTTATCAAGATTTGGGAAAATCAGATACATAAATCAGAGAGAGAATCCCAGAGCCAACCCTTGGCATAAATTAAACATTTCCTGTTCCTCTTCCCACTTCACTAAGTCAATGATCTTAGTGTGGAAAGACCTTCAAATGGGGCTGTCAGAGGAGATCAGAACATCAGCTGGAGAAGCAGGCTGCACATGCCAAACGGCCTAATTTCCAAGGTCTTCCTTAGTCCCATCCCTACTATAAGGTGAAAAAACATAAGACCGAGATGGAAAATACTCTCTGTTCAGTTCTGCTAAAAGCAGGCTCTGAACCAATCTTAGGAGAATTTTGAAAAGCTGGTGAATGTCTCCTTTAGCCAAACCAAATTCTTCTGTGGCTGATCAGCAAGCCTACTCACCGATGTCTGTCTCCTTGTGGTTCTTGATGTATTCTGCCAGTTCAAAGTTGCCTGCGATGATCGCCACCTGCGAAGTGGAAATCATATTAAATTAAGCGTCACCTGCGGAACACTGATTTTTTTTTAATGTCCCTTTACATCATTGAAGGCCTCACACCACGAGGAGTGCGATCACAGCTCTTGAAACGGCAGGTGCACATCTGCTGACTCTCACCTTCTCACTTTCCAAACACCACTCCTGCTTTTCGCAAAGCCCCTGGTCATTTCACGATGGTAAGATTACCACTGCGCTAGGACCCATGTGAGCGGGTGCCTCTATCCAGAAGGCATAGGGAGGAACTATCTACACAGCGGTGGTGAATTCAGCAAAGCCAGAGCTTGGAAACCCCCGTCGGCCATGTCCTGTGTTCCCACAGGGCTCAACTGGTTGAGTCTCACACCACCTGAGAGCCCCATTTTTCTGACTAGATACAAGCCAGTCCCCATAAATGGAGAGAGGGGAAACCTCAAAAAAGCATTTAAAACTCTTTATTAAATTTCAGTTCACTGTAAAAAATTCCTCCCACAGATGTAGGCACAGCCCAGTGGGTGGCATCAAAACCAACATCTACAGAAAATTATCCGAACTCAGGCCCTACAGACCTGTTACTGAAAGCCTCATGGCCCTTGACATGCGGAAACAGCCAGGTAGGTGAAGCCAGGTGCCCCTGGAGGCCCCAAAGGGAGGCCAGAACCAGAGACCACATGGGCAAGGCTGACGTGCCCCAGAGGGGAAGATCTTGGTCTCAGAGCCATCACGTAGACACCCAAAAAAGAGCCAGGCATTCCGATGCCAGTCTGGAGAAACACACATGTCTACAATGAGTTGACGTCAAATGATAATGTGGAATTATCCCATCAGTTGGAGGCCTTATGAACAAAAACGGAGGTTTCCTATGGAAGAAGAAATCTGTCCTCAAGACTGCAGCATCAGCTCCTGCCTCAGTTTCCAGTCTGCCCTGCAGATTCCAGACTTGCCAGCCCCACAATCACGTGAGCCAGTTCTCACAATCAATTGTTGACCAATAGACATTTCAGTACCGGGAGTGGGGTGCTGCTGCCACAAACATCAAACAACGTGGAAATGGCCTTGGAACTGGGTAACGGACGAGCGGAGGCTGGAAGCGTTTCGAGGTGCATGCTGGAAACGTGAGTGCTGGAGTGATTCTGGTGAGCTCTCAGATGGAATGGAGAAACGTGCTACCGGAAACTGGAGCAAAAGTGATCCTTGGTGTAAAGTGGCAAAGAGCTCGGCTGAATTGTGTTCTAGTATTTTGTGGAAGGTAGACCTTGTGAGTGATAAAATTGGATATTTAGCCAAGGAGATTTCTAAGCAAAGTGTTGAGGGAGCAGCTGGCTCTTCCTGACTGCTTATAGCAAAATGCAAAAGGAAAGAGACAAATTAAAGAAAGAATTGTTAAGCAAAAAGGAACTGGAACTTGAAGATTTAGAAATTTCTCAGGCTGTCTATATGGGAACAGCTGAGAAATCTATCCCTGTTGCAAAACATGAACACCGAGGGTGTGGCTGGAGTATCACCGGACCACAAGTGTGTGGAATTAGACAAGCAGGAACACAGCCGGTTAGAACTGACAGGGATGGAGCAAGAGGAGATGAAGGACTGTCGGGCTGCTGGACCTGACCGGAGAAGGTGATGGAGCTACGAGGCTGAGAGTGTGAGCTCGTCTTCAAGAAGAGGGACAAGATGACCCTGACGACAACTCAGAGGTTATCAGGACCACCTTGGTTTCAGCAGCCAGACGGCCTCCACCCAAAGCCGTGTGGGCAGCACCGCCAGGCAGAGGACTGGGGCAGTCTCTTGAGTTGCTGCTCTGCTGGGCATGGAGGTGGGAGGGAGGTATTTAGGGAGAGGCCCGCCTCCAGCCACCTTCAGTTGACCAGGCAGGTGCGTGAGGCGCCTCCTCCCCCTACGGCCCGCCTTTGACTCAGCTTTTAGCACTAGACTTAAGCGACGTGGACTCAGCAAAACTTCTCCGACCCACGCCACGGGCTGCCCGGGCTGACCAGACACTCCCTTCTCTTGGCCCCGATGGTTGTGCTGCTCCCGTCGCAGTGCCAGGCCTCTGTGCCCACAAGGGCAGGGCGTCTCTCACCCACTCCCATGGGTCAGCCCCAGCCGAACACCTGAGGTGAACCTGGCAGGCCGACGGAGGGATGCTGCCACAGGGATGAAGGGCATAGGCCCTGGGCCAGGCTGCTGGTGTAAATTCCAGACTTGTACCATGTGACATCGGGCATTATGTTCAATCCATGGGCCTTGGTTTTCCCATCTGTGAAATGGGTTTGGTGTGAAGGTTCAGAGCAGTGCCAGGCACATGGTCAGCCTTTAAAAAAGCTTGCTATTGGGATTACTGTTGTTGCAAAAGTGGTTATTGACAACTTCTGCACAAAGAGCAGACTGCTCACTGTGAAGGTCGCCTAAGCCCCCACACAAACGTACAATCGGATGCAAGTGCACACCCAGGACAGCTGCAGAAAATAACTTGACAGTGGACCAGGTGGCAGTGAGTCCAGGCTTACGCTTCCAGAGAAAAGCTCTAGGAACCCAAACCTGGTCACGCACGCAGCGGCAAGGCTACTTGCTCCGTTCCGGCCAAAACACCTCAGCTTATAATGCAGATGAGAACAATATGCATTTACTTGTCCTAACTGCACAGGGAGCGGCCGCATGCCGCCCTCTGCCACTGCTGGCCCCAGGCCTGGTGGGTGTCTTCTGAAGCAAGAACAGGGGACCAGGTTCAACGTGGCACTTCAGTGCCATCCAGTCGGTGTCTGGCTGCGGGTTTGGAGGCATAAGGCAGGTGGAGTGCGGGCTCTGTCTCCTCTGGTTCCGGGCGTGGGCACAGTAACAGCACCGCTAACGATGGTGAAGACACAGCAACGCCGCGGGCACCTCCCCCCAGGCACTGCGCTCGGCTGAGCACCAAGTCTTCCTCCCACCCCCACGTTCAACGCGGAGCAGGTGGAGACCCGTTCCAGAGCGCACCCCAAATCCCCAGCCTGGCCCTCGTGTCCGGCGCACCCTCCCATCCCCTCACTTGTGCTGAATCAGACGGCTCCTCCGTGCGCCCAGCACCTGCACCGCCCTGTCAGGGAGACCTGGAGGCCTGGGGGGCATCTTGCAATTGCTCAGTGCCCGAGGTGGGGTGTGCCCCACACGCCCAGGAACGGACTCCTCGACGAACAAGCAGCGAGGAGGATCAGGGCACCACACCTGCAGGAGCTTGGCAACGACCCCAGTCTTGTGCCAAAGGCCCGTGCTGGATGCACCCAGGGGGCCAAGCTGCCCGGGAGGCACCTGAGAGGTTGGGGGGCTGTGTGGGTGCAGCAGGTGGAGCTGTCTACCCGGATCCCGAGGGGAGTGTGGGGCATAAATGCTGTGCCCCAGCCTCTCGGGAGCGTAAAGACCAACATGGGACGTGTGAGGAACAGCCCGGTGCGCTCAGGCACGGCTCTGGCACGGCTCTGGCACGGATGGAGGAGGGGATGTGGGGCAGACCAGGGCCAGGCGGACCCCCGTGGGAACTTGGGACCTAGGCAAGATCTGGAGGAACAAGCACCTGGCTGGCAGGCAGGGGAGGAGGATGGAGGACCATCTAGTTGGTCGCCACTGAAGCTCTCTGCAGATCAAGATTTGACGCCTCCTGTATACATCAGGCAGCCCCTTCCAAGACAAGATAGCTTCCTGGATGACTCCGGATGACACCTCTGTGGGCTCAAGTCACCCACCCACCCATCCGTCCACCGATCCACCGTTAACTGAACTCCAGGACGTGCCACGCCCCACAGCACCTGGCTCCGAGTCTGGCCCGCCTTGAAGCACGTGCCAGTCTGCAGGCGTGAGCTTGCGTGCTGGATCAGGCAGCGACTACACCCGAACAAGGCGTCGTGTGGGCTTCACTGCAGTCTGCACATGTGTCCTCCCAAAATTCACATGTCGAAACCTACTCCGCAGTGCGAGGGTGTCACGAGGCAGGACCTCTGGGAGATGATTATGTCACCAGGGTGGAGCCCTCGTGAATGGGGTCAGTGTCCTTCTCAGAGAGGCTCCAGAGAGACCCTTGCCCCTTCTGCCATGTGAGAACAGAGGGAAGACGGCCGAGCGGGAATCAGACCCTCCCCAGACATGGGATCTGCTGCCGCCTGGTCTTGACTCTCAGGCTCCAGAACTGTGACGGGGAAGGTCTGGTGTTCATAAGCCACCCGGTGTGTGGTATTTTCCTACAGCAGCCTAAGCACTAAGACAATGTCCATCCCACCCCACCTGCCACCCGAGGTGACGCTGGGATCAGAGCAGGTGCCCACAGACCTGCGCCTTCCCGCTCAGCTCAGGGGAGTGCCGGCGCACACACGTGAACTTTCTGCAGCGATAAAAACGCCTGGGAGCTGCCCTGTAGCCTTTGGACACTCCTCTCAGTTCCCGCATCTCTGGGGAGGGTGGTTAGGACCCCGGGGACGCTGCTGCCTCGCTGTGATGCCCACAGTGTGACCTGCTCTGTCCCCACTGAGAGTCAGAGCAAGGGAGAGGCCGCCTCTCCCCTCCTCACTCCAGAACAACCTCCTGGGGGCTGCAGCCAGGTGCGGAGGAAACACTTCCCCCGCCCCGAATGAAGTATCCTTCTCTTTCCAAAATGAAATGTGCTTTCCAAATGGACAGCTATGCCCAGGCTGCTCTGTGGTCCTGACACCTCTTCGCCATAATGAGAAGGTGGCTCCTTGAAGAGCCAGTGAGGGAAACTGAGGGCTCGCTGTGTTCCCATCTCTCATTTCCTTCCCGAGATACCGCGTCTTGTTTCAGACCCCTGGGCAGCTCAGGAAGTGACCTATACCCACAGCCCCGGGAGGTGGGAAGGGTGTTTGAAGTTTGAGCATCCTCCAGGCATGGCGGGGCGGGAGACTGGGCTCAGTGAGGTCAGAGGTCGATCTCCACCAGACAAACTCCAAGGGAGTCTCTGCCCAGCTCTAGGCGAAAGCCGGGGGTCTGGAGAGGCAGCGGACGCCTCTGCAGGTTCCGGAGAGAACAGCTCCCTGGGGCTCTGCCAGACTCCGGAGCGGGGACAGGAGCCTTTGCAAATCCACGTGTGTCACCTGAAGGCCCTTGCGGTTTGCTCCAGGACCTTATGCCAACCCCGAGGGGGCTGACTAGACAGAGAACCCCTTGGTGACACAAGCAACCACCCACACCTCCAGGGACAGCCGACCCAGGGGTGCTGAGGGATGGGCCCCGAGCCAGAGCAAGCAGCCAGGGCTTGGGAGTCTGCCCTGTGGGTGGCTCTGTGCCAGGTGACACAGCGGGCCTTCCCCGGGGACAGGGGGCCCTGGTGTTGAAGTGAGACTGCCCTAGGCAAGGCCTCCACTTGTTGGTACCCAGAGGCTGGGGATCAAATGGCCCCCAGACCCCCAGAAAGGCAAGCGGGTCCAGGCCCCTGCACCTGCCCATAGCTGAGGAGTGAAAGCGTCCCCCAGCTGTGGTCAGCCGTCACTCTGGCAGCACCGTGGGGTGGCCGGAGCCACGGGGACCACAGACAACCGATGCCCCCTCTGTACCTGCATCTGCTCCTCTGTAACCGAGGGTAATGATACACGTGCGATTCTTCTATGACTACTGTGAGAATTTAAATAATTAATATTGGTTAGTGGCTTACAACAGCATCATTTGATATCAGGAACAAGAAAATGGATCAATATAATTCATCACATAACAGAGAAAAAGGAGGAAATCTATCTAATTATCCTTGATAGTTGAAGGATCAGATCTCAGTTTTGATAAATGTTTTATCAAAACACATTGGATACAATACAGCTTCATAATAAAATCTAACAGACCAGGAATCAAAGTAAACTCAGTCTGCTAGTGCAGCAATTAAATACGTAACACTGCAAAAAAAAAACACCCGAAGACTAAGTGACGTGTGATTCTAAGGATCATGCTCTAGGTGCACTCCCGTGACTGCATTTGTGTGGAGGGTCTCGGGGCGTCACGGCCTCCACGAGGGTCTGGCCGTCAGCTGGGGCTCAAGTGTTTTTTTCCACGCATCCTCCCACCCCCAGGAGACCAGACTGGCTTCCCGACACGGTGGCCCCAGGTTCGTGCTCCACGTGGACATCTGAAGCTGCAACGCTCCCTGAGGCAACCAACACCACCTCTGGCAAAACCTACTGGCGAAGCACGTGACCAGACTCCAGGTGTGGGGCAAACAGACTCCAGGTGTGGATGGGAGGGGCTGCACCTTCCATCCCACTGCAGTTCCAAACTGCAACTGCACGATGACTGCAGCGTGGACACGTTTTGCCAGGAGCAGCAGGTGTTTGGTCGACTTGGGATCACGTGGAAGTCCCAAAGGTCACACAGCAATCTGGGACTTGAACCCGGGCTCCAGAGTCTGCACCACATACGCCGCCTGGTTAAGACTCGTCGATACTGGCAAGCGACCTCCCAGGGACGCTGGTGTTCAGCATCAAGTTGACTCCCTAATTACAGGGGGATGTTGAACTAGCAGTTGGTGTTGGGAGATCGTATTTGAGGAGAAAAACCATCTTCGATGTTTAGAAGTTTCTGATCAATCAACAAGCCAAGTCACACTACGACCCAGCCCATCCACCTGCATTTTAGCAGCTCAGCTTCCAGCGGAGACGTGAAAACATCGACCAGGTAAAAACCTGCCAGCTCTGTGCCTACCCTCTTAGGTAGAAGAGGCCTCCGGGCAGTATTATCCAGTTGTCTGTCCTGTGAAACGTTTATGGCAGTCAAGGGAATAAAACACCTCAAAAAACATTCTGCATAAAAGTTTAACAAACAGATAAAAGAATGAGAAGTAATTATTTCATGTGGACCAAAAACATCCTCCCTTTCCCAGATGGATTTGCTAATAAAATGTAAATTTCTCCTTTGAAATAGCAATGGTTTATGCTGAAGGATGCCGTTTGCTCCCAGAAATCTTAATAGAAAGCCAGTGGTTCTTCAGTGTTTGCAGAGAAACAGTCTGCAAGGCAGTGGCTCTGGTGGGAGTCTGGGGCTGGAAAGCCGTGAACCTACAGGGCAGGTGATATTTTTCTACTTGGCTTCAAGGTCCTCCTGCGTCATGGGGCAGAAGGAAGACGACCACTCTGTTGTGCGCAGCTGAGATTTCTGGGATTACAGATGTTCCTAGACTGGCTTTCACCACTCTGCGAGAACGCGGAGAGCGATGGAGCTGATGATGACGGCGGTTGCTCATGTTCGGTCAACATGTGCACGCAGGCACGCCTCTGCGTACGGCGTCGGGCTCCGTCCTCACCGCACGCCTGGGGAGTGGAGCTGCTACGACAATTGTCCTGCAGGTTAGAAAACAGGCTTCGAGAGTTCAAGTAACTTGGATTTCCACGTTCCCTAAAGGTAGACCTTGTTCATTCGACTGCAGAGCCTAGGGTAAGGCAGGTGTTGTATACATGGCCTCGTGTAGCTCTAACCACGGAAAATTCTCCGGCACGTCAGTTTAAGCACACCCTTCCTGCTTAATAAAAGGCAAGAGGGAGATTAATAATGGGATTTGACTCAGAAGCAAAAATTAAGTACCATTTTCTGCCAGATGGTAACCAAAGAAAGAAACGACAGCTGAGACTATCGCACTCCCTGTGTTAGTTTGCCGAGGCCGCCATCACAGAGCACCGCGGGCAGCGTGGCTTAAACAGAAATTTGTCATCTCACAGTCCTGGAGGCTGGAAGTCCAAGATCAAGGTGTCTCCGGGTTGGTTCCTTCTGAGGCCTCTCTCTTTGGCTTGCAGATGCGTCTTCTCCTGGTGTCCCCATGTGGCCGTCCCTCTGTGCATGGCTGTGTCCTGATCTCCTCTTCGTATAAGGACATCAGTCATATCTGATTAGGGCCCACACTAATGGCCTCATTTTAACTTAATTATCTCTTCAAAGACCCTGTCTCCAAATACAGTCATATTCTGAGGTGCTGGGGGCTAGAGCCTCACTATATGAATTTAGGGGGACCCAAGGTAGCCCATAACAACCTGCTTAGCCCAAGTGTGGGGAATCTCTTTGCCTGCCTAGTGAAC